GTCGGGTTTTCGATACAGTCGGGATTTTCGATACAGTCGGGATTTCGATATTGTCGGGATTTCGATACACTCAGAATTTTGATATAGTCGGGATTTCGAATGTCGTGATTTTAATATAGTCGAGATTTTGATACAGTCTGGATTTCAATACAGTCGGGTTTTCGATACAGTCGGGATTTCGATACACTCATAATTTTGATATAGTCGGAATTTCGATAGTCTGGATTTCGATACAGTCGGGATTTTGATACAGTCTGCATTTCGATACAGTCGGGATTTCGATACATTCAGAATTTTGATATAGTCGGGATTTCGAATGTCGTGATTTTAATATAGTCGAGATTTTGATACAGTCAGGATTACGATACAGTCGGGTTTTTGATACAGTCGGGATTTCGAATGTCGGGTTTGCGATTACCACCGGTCATTATTATGTAATGAAATGACATGATTTATTTTTTATTACACATTATGAATAAGCTATGAATAATTACTTCTATAAATTCAATAATTTATATTAATATCAAAACTTATATTATAAAAATTGAATTCTATATATATATATGCAATAAATCATACTGATATGTAACTTTAGTTACATGCTTTAAATGTTGAAATTGACACTGATATTTCTCATAGCCTCTTTAATTTTTAAATACCTGTATTACTATTGATTAAATGCTTTAAATATGCTATTAAACTAAATATCACTATTTAGGTGCAGATTTAAAGGTGGACAGAATCAAGTGCAATATGATATACAATTACATCGACCTGGATGATTTATTGTAAATGATTCACTTACTGTTAGCTCATCTTCCTTTATCCTATCCGAATTCTTGCTGGCAAGTCGAAAGGAGTTGCTCACTATGACCTGCTCATCCTTCGACAAGAAGGAGCACTTCGCTGCAAGCTTCTTGCTGCTGTTGGCCCCCATCACCTTTCGAAAACATGAACACATTTTACAATAACTTTTCTCTTTTCTTTTTTTTAAAAAAATCTCCTCTGCATGCAACAATAAACCAAATAACAAAATCAATACTCACGGTGTGTAAACTGTTACGATTCTCGCAATTAATATATCATTAGGTACATAAATTATGGGAAACAATCCCATATGTGTAAGGTGGTAAATATTTACTTTTGATTATCATATGATTGTGATATTTTTACAGCCATCGACACCCATCGACGTTGCCGCATCAATGAAACCGAAGTGTTCACTGGACAACGACGACGACTGAAACATTAATAATTCAGGTGGTGTTTCGTGCGGCTTTCTAAAATTCGCTGTGCTACAATTGCGGAAGTGTTTGAAAAGGGACAATAATTTAATTGGAAAAAACATATTATGTGAACACCTGTAAGGATAATTGTGGAGAGCAGACAACGCTGCGCAACGCATATTTTTTTTTTGCCATGGAATATTACATAAACCGGTCTCTTTATATCTCGTCAATAACCTAACTGGAATTAGGACGTACATGTTAATTATATTAACGATATATTTTTGCCCCTCTGCTCTGTACGACTTCAATTTACCAAATTAAATTATTATTTTCTACTTGTTTTTTTTGTTTGCAGGGTGTGGATTTTAATTAAGCCAACTGTTTAAAATGCAAATTCTAAACGATGTTACCTTAATTAGAGTGCGTTTCTCAAATATGATTACAAACAGATGTTTCCAAAACTTTAAATTTTCAACTGTGGGCGTTGCTAAGTAATTTTCAATGATCTTATTGGATAAATAAAGATACATAAGTTAATGTAACTCAAAAGGAAAATATCCAAATGTCGCTTCCATTAGGAAATAGTGAAAACGACGATTCTGCATTTAGAATTACTTAAATAATTTATGATTATTGAAAATTAGCTATGTCCTAAATATATTTGAATTATTATACAGATGTGTTTCTAAATAAATAATGTAGAGCAAATTGTAATGTCTTGTAAATAAATTATGTATGTATTCTTAGTACACTTACAACCGATTTTGAGTCTAGTGCTAATATTATTATATTTTCAATTTTGTATGTATTTCTAAAGCGTTTATTAATCAGTTCATTAGAAAAGCGACCTGTCATTTTCTATATAATTTCATGAATTTTTACCAAATTATTAAATAATTAAAAAATAATGATCTATATTATCAGAAATAATAGTAAGAATAAACAAAATATTTTTCGTTTTCTATATCTTTGAAAATACTTTACAATATTGATTTAGATCTATTTTCTAGATCAGGGGTTTCCAAACGGTATTTTTACTAGAGTGGCGCCACGAAAATCGAAGAAAAACTGCTATTAAGATAAAGTTCAGCCTGAAATAGACCAATGTTTTGATTTGGAACGTCGCGGAAAAATTCTAATATATTTAAGGGCGTCGTAAACCGAAAAAGTTTGGGTACCCCTGTTCTACATCAAACATTAAACGAGTGTAAAAACATCAAAATAAAAATAGAATGGAAGCATTTAGTTCTAATTAATAGAAAATACATTATTTCAATTTTGTGAAGCTATAATTGAAGGAGAATATGAAAAATAGCTAAGAGAGCGAAATTGCAAAATTACAAACTGCAAAATTAAAATGGAACTAACTTTTTTGTACAAATGTATATAAAACTTAATCTTAACTATACATTTTGTGACATGTGTACATTTTATCAGTTTATGTAATATTTCAAAAAGCAATTATTTATTTTATATTAATATGAAAATTGTAGACAATATTTATCGAAATTATTAAATATTGCAAACTTCAAAATAAAAAAGGAACTAAGCTTTGTGTTTTAATTAATAGACATATCTTCTTGTGTTATACTTAGAAAACTTGTGAAATATATATATTTACAGTTAAATTTAGATAAATGTACACGTTTGTCAGCTTGGTTGGTTGGAGTACAACTTATATTTACCTACTATTTCCGGAAAATGTATACATAGACCTAATGTAATTGGTAAATTTATATAGGTTTACGTTACATAAAAAATATATCTATTGATTATCTCTAATCGGAGAATAAGGAATTAAGAAATGCAACTGCAAAACAAAATGCAAGACTAAAAAATATTTGCTCCATAGAAAAACCGGTAAATGTATGAGGCTGATCTCAATTTTAAACTTACATTTACCAACTAAGCTGGTAAATGTGTACTTTTACCGTAACACAGTTTTTCCAGAAAGACCTATGATCAATAGCCTTTCATAGTTTAATTTAATTTATTGTATTGAGTTTATATTTTTATAATTTATTGTTGCAATAAATGTTACAATTATAATTTTAGCAGTTTGTAGTTGAATTGTAAAAGACTAGAATTTCAAGAAAACTTAAAGAAAGAAAAATCAACAAGTTTATTGTCAGAAAAACATAAACCATGTCAATAAATTGTCATTGATTCTGTAACAAATTGATCGAGATTGCAAACTTCAGAAAAAAAAATTAACTAAAATCCTATTTAAAATTAATGTACATATTCTTCTTAACTATAAACTTATGAGATGTTTTTTTTTTGATGTTCTTTAACTTACATTAGCTAAATATTAAAATATAAGCACAAATAAAAAATAACTAATTTAGTTGTATTTTTTTTAGATGTTTTCTTTGTTTTCTTTCAAAGTACAATTTTATTTTTTGGAGTGTTTCTTACATTAATTCAGGTTTTACTTAAGCTATCAATCATTAAAATTTTATAATTTAAATTTAATAAAAAAGCTATGAAAATCAACTAAAAGCGTAATTGAATATAAAAATCAACTAATTTTTTTAATAATTAATTTATGAAATTTTTATAAAAAAAGTTTTAGAATAATTTTTAATTATTATTAAATACTTAAAATGATGAGTTTGTTGCAATTAAAACAAACTCATTATTTTCATCGCTTGAAACATTTATAAGTTCGAATTTTTTTTATCAATATTTTACTTTATTAAGTTTTCATAAATGTGCTGATATTTCATTAAATTTTGTCGAAATTTGAAGGCTGAATGTTTGAATCAATGTCTTATAATGACACTTTCCATTTTTTTTGTTTTTGTAAAAGATATCGAATATGAATGGTATAAAGAAGCTAAAGAATATAGAATTAGATTAATTGAATTTAGTCACCTTAGGGATGTAAGGATGTAAGGATATAGTAATTTATTTAAGACCCCCTGTTGACACATCTGTGAGTGTCGCCATCTGTCGGTGAGGATTGTGATGGAGGTGACGTGTTGCCGGCGGTGGGGGCAATGTTGGTAGTCGTTTAATTTGACATTTCACTCGGTATTTCGGTTGTAACCTAGTTGAGAACCTGGTGCAGATGCAGAGCGTATGAATGGGGAAACGAGAATCCAGTGTTCATTGACACGATCAAACCGCTGAAATCCGCTGCAGAGAAGACGGTTTGGGTCTCTGATCGACGCTAATATGGACGGAGGGATGACGTAATGTGCATTATATATATATACGGTAATTATGTCCGACAGTGCGAATAATAATGTGGAGCGAGAGGAGTTAGTGCAGCATTGACTGGCATCCAAAGTGGAGAAGGATAACTACGACGACGACGACGACTCGCGCACAAAACCAACGAACACGGCCTGTGTGATACATCATCATCCAATACTGTTGTAATCATACAATAATATAATACAGATGCACGCAGGGATTCGCCTCTGAAGTTCGCATGTTGTTTGCTGCTGTTTTTTTTTTGAGTGAGTGCACCCGACAATCATCAGATCAAACCCCGAAGATGTCGATGAAGATCATCGTCTAAGAACCCCCCGAAGAAGAGCACAACACGGCCTTCCCAACAAGGATCTCCGTCGTGGCATGCTGCTCCTGCACGGAATTACGTAAGGATTCTTGTTTTGTTTCTTCTCGTCGGAAAACCGCGCGACCCTCGACAGCAAATTATTATTACATCCTGTCGCATACACTCACGCTCATCACGCATTCATCATTTCATTCACATCATATTGGAATCATCCGCAAACAACCCACATCCGCGCGCATAAACGAACACAAAATGAAACAACACTATTGGCTCATGTTCGAGCCAAGGCTAACTCATTTTTAAATTTTTATTTTTAATTACCATCGAATAACGCAAACAACTATTTTCATATATATATATAAACAGAAGAAGCGCCTCGCCCTCCGCCAAATTATATCATTATCAGCATCATCACAAGCAACGTTTGGATTATTTTAATAATCCGAATTATCTAATTTGCGTTTATCTACATTAAACGTGTTACGTAAATTTAAAAAAAAAACAAGGTGTTAATTTGAATAGCATTTCTATTTGTTTGTATAATCGGATAATGTTAATTGTTGCGGCCGGCGGTAATGAAATATACCCACCTGGGATCAATATGTGTTTTAATTTCGGTTGCGTCGGGTGCAGTCATTATTCTTGGCTCGAGGAATTCTAGACGAGGCGCCTAATTTGGCTTTTAATGAGCGGGAGCATTAAACCAAAGCTTCTTCTGTCTGTTCTCTTAGTTTTGGCAAATCCGTGTGCCGGAATCGCAAATTCCGACGTTAAGCCGAAAGCAAGGAGTCTACATTATGTCTCCATGTCTACACTGTATGTGTGTCGAATAGTTTTACATGTTTTTCTGTAAATTATAATAACAAATTTCCATCGTAAATGCCGTATATGTAATTCATTATGATTATGAAATAGCAAAATGTTCCAAAATACCAAAAGAAACGTAGATTTTTAGCAATATTTTTTAAATTTATTAAAAGTTTTACATAATTTTGAATTTATCAAGATAATAATTTTGATTGAAACAGTTATGCAAATAAGCAAATAAAATATATTTAATTGTTGCAAATATTTTTAATTATCAATGCGAATGATAACAGTTGGCTGTAAAGTATATTGTGTTTAGAAAATCGGTGGAGTTGTATTTCTTCGAGCGGGAAATTAAGAAAGCGATGTCTCCATGTCTACACTGTATGTATGCTGAATAGTTTTACATCTTTTTCTGTAAATTATAATAACAAATTTCCATCGCAAATGCCGTATATGTAATTTATTATGATTATGAAATAGCGAAATGTTCCAAAATACCAAAAGAAACGTAAATATTTAGCAATATATCTCTCATTTTTTCAATTTATTAAAAGTTTTACATAATTTTATGAATTTATCAAGATAATAATTTTGATTGAAACAGTTAT